AATAATTATATATATATATATATTGACTTAAATATATTTTTAGTTCCTATAAAATGAGTTTTGATTTTAGATTCGTATAAAAAAAATTTCATCTTTTCAAATTCCAAAATCTCTAATTTTGGTCTCCAATATTTTAAAATAGATAAATAACATTTATTATATACATCAATATTACATATTAATATAATACCATATACACTAGTGAATGTCACTTAAAATGATCATTTGACATATCACTTAACATATAAACAATTAATAAATGTCACATAATAGTAAAAATCAAAATAGTGATTTTCAATTTTAAAGAGATAAAAGACAAAAAATTTTACAAAGACCAAATTTTAAAATCATTCATTTTACATGGCCAAGCCTAATTTATTTATAACGGGTTAAAATATTTAAAATTAATTATTTCTTAAAATATATAAATGTTTATTTTAGAATATTATTTGGGAAAAGAAATTATTTTGTCAAAACTGAGTTTGAGATTTGAGAATTAAAAAAGGCTTTGAAATGTTTAATTTGTTCTCTTAAAATAGTTCAAAGTAATTTTGGAAGATACACTTGAAAGTGGTCCTATTTTGTTTTCAAAATTAGTACAACAATCCCATCACTTCTATTATTTGAACAGTGTTGTTAGCTGGTTTTAGTTCTGTTTCTTGCCCAATTAATTCTGTTTTAATATTTATGTATTACTGTCTGAAGTTTTTCTAATATATAATTCACTTCTCCTGCCAATCACGCGTTCCCCTTAATTAATTGGATAATGATACATTTATTCAACATTGAATTAATTTGAATTTTATTGTTCTATCAATTTGTGCACCTCCATCTAACAATTTAATTTAATTTTTTTTAAGATGAGAAATAAGAATGAGAATAAGTTAGATCGAAGACTTATGACTTAATCTTTTTTAAAATCTAGTCTAATTTGACCTGTTTAAAAATATAAATAAATAAATTTATAAACAAAAATAAATTATTAATATTTAAAATATTTCTTATACAATTATTTCTTTCATTATAGATTTATAAGTTTATGACTTATGCATGAGCGTGTATCAACATATATGATTACACATGAATCGTTCCTTCAATAGAAAATGATTCAATTTTTTTCTTATATTTCTTTTAAATTTTAAATTTTAAAAATATTGAGTAAACTATATTTTAAAAATATTTTTGTTGATTTTTAAAATTTGAGTTTATTGGTCTAACAAATATTAATAATTTAAATTGACTTTTAAATAAGTTAATAGGTCAGACTAGACCGTAAAAAGGTTAGGTCAGGTCTAAAAAAAACTTACAATAAATAATATGTCAAATTTAATCTTTAATTTTGCAGAACAGACTCAGACGCAGTCTATATATTTAAAGTCTGCCCTAACATAACCCATTCTCATCCCTAACGAG